CCCCTGAAACTGACGCGTTCGTTTATTATTCGCGGAGCTCCAATATCAGCGTAGGCGCTTTCCCTTATTAACGTGATCTGGCTGCCCGTATCTATYAGCGCAGGAATTTCCGCATTGTTTATCGTAACAACCTTTTTCACATATTGTTTATCTGCCGAGGAATCCTCACCGACCCGAACCATCGTCACCGATGGTGCCCTTTTAGGACATCCAGCAGAAATGTGACCGAAACCCTGGCAGCTGTAACATCTCGTGCCCTTCTCCCTCGACGGACAGAATGCCGCTCGATGTCCTCTCTCTCCGCAATTGTGACAGCTGTCGAAGATTCGTTGTTGTCCACCCGGTCTTTGCTGCCCCACCATTTCCATAGGTCTGCGCCATGTTGACTCTCCTTCGACTTCTTCCGGTCTCCTCCGTGCCCGGTTAGCCTCGGGCCCCGTCGGCAGCTGTATCTTCTCAAATGCAGAAAAAAGTTCGGATCTGTCTCGGAATCCCCTGATCCTCGCCGTGTTCTGCAAGGTCGTGTCAGGGATTCCGTCGATCAGATATTCGATCAGTTCTTCCTCACTGACGGACGCACAGTTCCCCAGGATCACCTTATCATGGAAATATTCACTGAAGCGTTCACCATGCTTCCACTGTCGTCGCATAAACTCCCTTTTCCTATCGACACAAGAAGGGAGATGTCGAAACATCTTCCTTATTTCATATAGCAGTTCCTCGTTCGTCATGTCAGCATATTCCGYTCTCGAGTGAAACCACTCTGCAGCTTTCCCTTTTAAACGTAGYCTAAACAGCACTGTCGCTTCTCCGTCARATAAATGGTGTATCCTTTTTAAGGCAAGRAACTGCMGTTCCCAGTGATCGTAGGGAGTCTCACCGTCGTAATAACTTAGCATCTCCGCGACCGTCGTCAATCCTATCTGCGGGCGACTTAATTCCTCGCGCCTCATCGCGACTGAATTTCGTTCCACCGTAACTCTGTTCTCGACCGGAGCAGTCATTGATTGTTGAGAGAGCTCCTCAATCWTCTGCTGCAACTGTTTTATCTCCTGACGAAGCAAACTTTCTCGTTCCTCAGCGCTCGTGATTGCGCCGGAGAGAGCAGCCCCGTAGTTCTTGTCCTTTCTCGAACAGATTGCATGCGCTTCATCCTRAAGCTCCYYTCCCGAATTTCTTGGAATTCGCACACCGCTTAACTCAATGTCCATTAGCCTTGAAATCAGCTCCGCTTTCGAACCCGCCGTGGGTTRGTTCAACTCCCGAAGCCGCTCTTTAAGCTRCATCACCGTTAATTCACCGTATGAATTGGTATCCATTTCCAAACTCAAGACTTCACTCTAAAGTTCACCGCTTTTTCTATATCTTCTGTATCTCCGTAGCACCAGACTTTTGATGTAGATCCCGGACGAGCCCCCAATTTGTAGGGAAATCAATCGTTCTGTATCCGGCTAAGGATATCTAATCNGTTCCCAGTGATCGTAGGGAGTCTCACCGTCGTAATAACTTAGCATCTCCGCGACCGTCGTCAATCCTATCTGCGGGCGACTTAATTCCTCGCGCCTCATCGCGACTGAATTTCGTTCCACCGTAACTCTGTTCTCGACCGGAGCAGTCATTGATTGTTGAGAGAGCTCCTCAATCWTCTGCTGCAACTGTTTTATCTCCTGACGAAGCAAACTTTCTCGTTCCTCAGCGCTCGTGATTGCGCCGGAGRGAGCAGCCCCGTAGTTCTTGTCCTTTCTCGAACAGATTGCATGCGCTTCATCCTRAAGCTCCYYTCCCGAATTTCTTGGAATTCGCACACCGCTTAACTCAATGTCCATTAGCCTTGAAATCAGCTCCGCTTTCGAACCCGCCGTGGGTTRGTTCAACTCCCGAAGCCGCTCTTTAAGCTGCATCACCGTTAATTCACCGTATGAATTGGTATCCATTTCCAAACTCAAGACTTCACTCTAAAGTTCACCGCTTTTTCTATATCTTCTGTATCTCCGTAGCACCGGACTTTTGATGTAGATCCCGGCTGAGCCCCCAATTTGTAGGGAAATCAATCGTTCTGTATCCGGCTAAGGATATCTAATCCCCCCCGTGTTGCCGACACTACTTGAGATATAAAAGATATTCTTTATTTTCACAAGTTATTGTTTATTACAGTTACAATATAAGTACGCTTCGCAACTACTCACACTCACTCAGACCTCACACAGTCACTACTCACTCGCTATTCTTTCACTCTTCACTCGCTAATCACTCTCGTATCGTATCGCTCGCTATCGTCGCTCGGTTCTCTCTGTGCTACCCCCGAAAAACCGCCGCTCACGCGTGACCGTCCTCTCCTTAAGAGGTTTCTCCCCCACCCACCACCTCCGAGGAACAGAACATTCTCGAAACGTTCTCGAATTTTCCCAACGTCCAGCTCGGTCCAATAAACAAATCACCGACACCACTCGAAAACCTTCTAAACTCACACGGACCCACACACACAACTTCTTCGCTTACAAAGAGTGGTTCAAGCACCGTTTTTCCCTTATTTCGATAGTCTTTCGTCGCCTACCTTCTTATCTGTGTTTACTCTTTGATATTCAACACTCCCCACATATATGTGTCTTTTTATTTATTGATTTGCATCTCATAAAGAATAATTTAACGTGTTTCTCTTAAGAGTTTGATTTCTATCAAATAAAATAATTGATTTAAATTAGATTTTTATTACTTATTAGGTATAATTTATAGTTTATATTTATATTTAAAATCTGTATATAATATTTATTGTTATGTAAAGCGCTTTTTGGTGACAAATAATAAGTTTATTGATTGACCGGAATAAAATGGAACAAAGTTTTATGCAATTATTTGTATTTATATATAAAAATATAAAAAATGTGAATAAACTTACTTGAAACGCCATTGTTTGGCAAATCATCAGTATTAGTCTCATCGGCTATTTAGCTTTGTATGCTTTATGTGACCATAATCTATGAGCACCTGCAGTAATACCGATGCATGTTATCGGTATTGTTATTATCTCTTATAAATTAAAAGAAGTTTATTATTTATTGTTTTCAATAAAATATAATTTATTTACCGTCTTGTTACTATAAATTAAAATTGCAATAAATCGCTGCCAATGATAATAGAATAAAACTATTAGGTGTAAATGACATTGTGCGATTGATATTTTCAATAGATAATTGTGAAAACTTACTGAATATTATAGTATAGAAATTAGGTGCGGTTACACTTAAAAATAATTCATATATGCGGCCTATATGGAGATACAGAAGAATTATTACATTTTTCCGTATAATGTTCCACTTATATTCGGTTTTCAATTCTTCTAAAGCCTGCATATTTATTCTTTAGTAAGTTTTTTAGTTCTTCTGAAATAAATATTAAATAACATATTAATGGAATTTTATTTTTTATTTTTATAAAAAGATTAAAAAAACTTTTAATAGTTTTCTTATTATTTAGAATTTTTTATTCGGAAGTCTACTTGCCGAAAATTTTCCTAGTGATCAGCAATGAAGCGATAATAAAATCACTTTTGTGATAAGAATAATATTCTATTTCTATTTTACGTTTATATAACATAAACAAGATTATTTACGATGTAATTGTAGAAATTTGTGGTCAAGATTAATACTTTTCATTAACCGTATTCATACTGATTTAACGAAAAATATAAATAATAAAGAATAACAAAAATATAGAAAATATAATACAAAATGGCAATCACTTAAATATTTAAAAAGAAAAAATATTATTTACGATGTAATTGTAGAAATTTGTGGTCAAGATTAATACTTTTCATTAACCGTATTCATACTGATTTAACGAAAAATATAAATAATAAANAAAATATAGAAAATATAATACAAAATGGCAATCACTTAAATATTTAAAAAGAAAAAATATTATTAGAATATTTACTATATATATATATAAAAAGCGATTTTAAAAAAAATAAGCTACGAAGACCGCGAATTAAGGGGTCGCGTTAAGGGATAGGAACCATGGCGAGATTTAATATTTGCGACAATAAACGTTTTAATTCCTAATGCTAATTAACAATTATAATAATAATAAATAAATAACAAAACTATAACAATAAACTAAGAACACACTTAGTCGAAAAAGGTTCGATTTCCGTGTAAAATATTGAATGTTGAAATATTCGTAGAAGAAACGACTTCAAGAAATTATAAAACTCACTAGCGTTATATTAACACGAAAGTAGAAATAAATCTGAGACGGAGATAGAGAACGCAGGATTTTTATATGCCCGCCACATCCCCACCATACGTAAAATTCAGTGGTGAAGACTAATATGTTTCCTACGGGTTAAAATGTTTTGAAAGTGGGGATAAAAAGCATTTAATGAATTCCATAACATGAGACGATAGAAATAAACCCTACTACAATTGGTCAATCAAATTGGGGAAAGGATTTCGGAAACCTAACTACTACAATCCAATTAGCTACCGTAGAAGTAACATTTTTACATGACTTTTTCATTCTGAAGCAATTCGTTACTAATATATTTATAATTATTAAGATTTAGTAACAAAAAATTTGCTGAATTATGGAATAATGAAAAAGTTTATTTTAAAAGTTATCTTACTCTATTTGTCAATTATTATTTTCCAGTTGTACCTGGTTATTGTACTTCTTTATGTTATGTATCAATAAAGCATTTGAGAAAACTTTTATTCCGAGTAAATATGATAATACTTGATTGTAAATAAAATGAGAAAATAAGATTATGTAGTTACAAAATAATTAGAAGACCCAATTTTTAAAAGGGTGAAAAATTCTGATGAAGAATTAATAAACATGTTAAAAATTTGTTGGTCGCGTTTTGTCACAAATGAACCATATCAAATTTTCTATAAGACATCAATGAATGAGAATAAAAATTTTAAAATCTTAAATTTATTACAACGTCGGAATAGACCAAGAAAGTTCGAAAATATTGTACTGACACCACTATATAAAAATATCAGTCAAATTACAGCAGCAAAATTCAAAAACATTATTTGCCTATTACGATATATACCACCAGAACATTATGATTTTTTCCAATTCCTTTCACACACACAGAATTTAGATAAGTAGTGAATTGTTTTGTAGGTTATGTTTGTAATTTTGTACATTATATAGTAAAAAAAAATGTTTTTTGGCGACACTTGCCAGTTTACAAGATTGCGTCAGTCTAAAGTCACATGTTTGTGTTCGTGTTGTTTTTACTGTTTATTTTTAAATTTTGTTACAATGTCTAGTGATAAAATGAGATGCGTTTTTTGCAAAAGGAAAAATGAAAAAAATCGCGTATAGCAGATAATTAGCATTGAAAAAAGTTTCTGGTAATGAAAAGTTTATATCTGGTAAACCTATCTGAAGTCAATAAATAGAAAATAAGGCTTTAAAAAATTTTTTTTAAATCTAGGATTATTACCTGTACAGGTAGGATGCGCACTATTAAACGCAACCACTACCGCTAGCCAGGTAGCCCAGGCTTTAACCGAAAGAGCAAGAGAACCAAATAATAATTTCATCTTGAACGAGTTATCATCTCCTCTTAGAAAAGTTGTCGTCAACCTCGATTATTTAATCGATCTGGGTTATTAGCACAATGTTCTAATTTTCTCATTTTAGTCCAGAGCTTCTCTCTCTCTTCCAATGAGTTAAAAATTTCTTTATTTGTTTCATAATACTTTCAAACTTTATCAACTTCGAATTCGTGCAAAGTAAATAAATTACTTGTGCTAATAATTCTTTCTTTTTATTCTCAATTGCCTCTTTTGCGCTATTCAATTGT